GATGGATGATATTCTCTTCAAAGGAGAGAGGATAATAGTACCAGACAGGATGAAAGTGAAAATGCTCCAGTGTATTCATTCAAGCCACCTGGGTATCGAAAAGTGCAGCAGCAGAGCAAGGTCTGTACTATTCTGGCCTGGAATGAATTCCGACATTGAAGCTGAAGTCGGTAAATGTTGCATATGTAAGGAAAGACGTGTTTCCAACCAGAAAGAACCACTTGTTCCACGACCGATTCCATCATATCCATGGCAAATTGTGGCAACTGACTTGTTTCAGTTTCAAGGTAAAGACTACTTAGTGGTTGTCGACTACTACAGTAGATGGTTATATCTAAGAAGTGGAGGAGCTTGCCAGTAAAAAGAGTGTGACAGTGATCGACAAGCTCAAATCCATATTCGCTAGACATGGAGTGCCTCAGGAAGTGATATCAGATAATGGCACTTAATACACAGCAGAGTAATTTGTTAACTTCACAAAGTGTTGGGGTTTCAAACATTCAATGTCTAGTCCTCACTACCCGCAGAGAAATGGTTTGGCTGAGAAAGGTGTGCAGATAGCCAAACGTCTGTTCGACAAAGCACTAGCTGATAACAGAGATCCAAGACTCAGCTTGTTGGAGTACAACACTCCCATCAGACATTTCTGCCTTCCCGATGTTAATGGGACGTCGTCTTCGTTCAACACTTTCAGTGACGTATGAACAAATGAAACCTAAAACTGTTGATCCTGAAATCGTACAGAAACAGATTGCTCAGTCAAAACTTCAACAGAAACAGAACTATGACAAGTCGGCGAAACAACTCTCAAAACTCAATATCAACGAGCCAGTGCGAGTCCGACCAACAGAAACCCAGTATAAACTAGCCACAGTGATCAGTAAAAGCCAGCATGACCAGGATAGGTCATACATCATTCAGAGTAACGATGGTGCTCAATAACGTCGTAATCGTCGACACTTGTTATCAACCAGTGACAAACTCAAACCTGCTGTCAATCAAACTTGTGAAACAAAGCCTGAGACAAGTGAGCAGAAAGTAACCAGCACATCAATCAAGACAGCAAGTCTGAGTGTGAGTTCAAGTCCTTCACAGAACTCAACATACATCACCAGGAGTGGTCGATCTGTGAAACCTAAGGTCATGCTGGACCTATAAACATTAGACATTTATTCAGTTAAATTGATTTGGTTAACATGTCTGATTTCATGTGAGTGAACGGTTAAATTTCCATTGATTTTATTGTAAATCCAGAAAGTGTGGATTTCAAGCAAATGTGCTTACTGTTTTATTTCATTGCAGTTTGTATTTATGTTGATGAACATCTAATTTAGCTTTTCTATGTATAGATTTGTGCAGTAACAACAAAACAATAGGATTCATGAATATATTTATTAATAACATTTGCAATATATTAGGGGCTACTTGGTTGCTACATAAAAAGACATACCCTGCGGGTATGAATGAAGAGGTAAGGGTTGTGCCGACCTGATTGAATAAATGCTAGTTACCCTGTGGGTAATGAACAAGTCCTGAGACCGTGCCGGCCCTGGACTGTAAATTTGGAAGAAAGGTACTTTGGGGGCCACGAGCCATTCCTATACAGAATGCAGGGCATGGAATGACTTGTGAAGCCCAGCCCCTCGTTTGCTACATAAAAAGACTGCGGGTATGATGAAAAACATGACTTGTGAAGCCCTTACGATTAAATAAATATATGAAACCGAATAGCCCAAAGGTGGAGACAGGGGATGGATGGAGGGTATCGCTGCAGCTGCTATAAACAATGACAGAAATAGTTAAACGATATTGAGGCTGTTGGGGTTAATATAAGAAAACATTGTGACGTCATGTCCTTAGTTCTGGGCATGAGCAGATGATAAAATAGTGCATTGTGGGATAGCTTAAATGTAACATGATACAGAGTATTTTTTACGTGAGGGGAGTTGGAAGTGAGCTGGGAATTACTATGAAGAATAAGTGATATGTATACGCAAGTGGATATTGAGCAAATGTATTTATGGCAGGACATAGCAGGGGACTTCGTGAAGCTAAGAACATGGGGAAATGTAGAAAATTAGGAGATAAACATACTGTGTTTTCAATGTAGAGCTAGGTTACCTGTAGATTTAACCCCGCTAAATGTTAAATTCAGTGCGGTTAAATCTACAGGTAACCTAGCTCTACATTGAAAACACAGTATGTTTATCTCAATTCTACCATGACTAAATAAAATGCGAATTCTTTGGTGTTAGCAAATATACTGAGTGAAGCGGCATGGGTTGAGTTCGGTGTTTTCAGCGGGTTATCGATCTGAATTACGGAATCACTGAATAAAATGTGGTGCTGTATATACTCAAGCAGTTTGTTTACACCGTAATACTTCACTCGAACATATGACAGGCATTGAAAGCATATAAGCACGGCAACTTGGTAAGCTAACATGAGGTGGGCATCCCTAAAGAAAACAAAGCAAGCTTTGCAAGGCTTTCGCTCTACATCGCACGTCACCAATATGACGTCATATAGCTCATTGTGACGCAAAAGATATGACGTCACAGTCGGATATAGAAAAGCGCCAAAATTCCAAGCTCTCTGTTGTCTCCAAAACGTTTAATACATTCCCTTTGTTGATTTCTGTTGTGTTTTTCTGCACGGAATGTATTGCCACACATCCTTTAAATATTGTAGTAACAGCATCTGTGCATTTTGTAACCTGTAATTGTAGATATAATTATTTAAATATGCCTACCGACAATAACTGAAAATAGTACTATTCTATGAATATTAGCTTCCGCGGTGATGCGGCCGTCAAACCAGCTGTTTCAATCAGAGGGGAATTATTGTGAGTTAATAGCCTCTGATTGACCAATCAGAATCGAGTAAATTCCAAATTCATGGCAGAATATATGTTATCACTGCACAAACAAACAGATAGAATTTACAGACCATAACATATAACTAATATTTTTGGGGAAGGGAGATGTAGTGATTTGTGGCAAATCTGCCAGATTGTATGAGTGCTTCACTATATTGAGATCTGTATGCCATGTAGAGTTATCTCCCTGCACGAAATGCCATGTGTTCCAAGATGGAGGATTAAACTAGATTGCTCCCAGTCAGTGAGTTTAGTTTCTATAGATACAAGAGTTACCTGTGATTCAAGTTAACCCACATAACATTACACTGTGTTATTATTGTTGGGTAGACTGCATTATTTGGGTCCCCACTTAGGAACGAACGTTTTTACGTGTTTACGGAAGTTCTCTAATAAAAAACGTTCAAAGCATGCGCACTTCGTTATTTACGGTCAAAGCGAGAGGAAAATAGGCCGCCATTTTTGGTACCCCACTGAACGCTGTGGAATGTTTTAAGTGAAAAAGGGGTTCCAAAATTTAAGGTAAAAACAGGCGTAAAGGGGTTCGGATTTGCTCAAATAAATCGCACAACGGTAAGTTCATTCATGAATGCATATTATGAATATTCATAGAATGTTTCATTACTCACTCAATCAAAGAGATCCGCTGACGCGTTGAAAGCATTGGTTTCTTCATCAAACAGTTCTGCCGAACCATCCAATTCATTTAAATTTTCTCTCTCTGTGATATCGGGTGCCTGCACTGGACTATAAACACGGCTGATGAACTTAAGAAACAGAATAAAAGGATCAACTGAACAACTTAAATATTTTTTTCTGATAATCTACTCAACAAAATAACTATCATACAGTCCTTTATTCGTTCCGTACCTAGGCAAAGATGCCTTCACCGCTCTCCAAGTTGACTCTATTTTATTTGTACATGCCACTGTTTCTGAATTTACAAATTCTACACTGGGGTTAACTTTTTTATGTATGTACCCCATCCCCTCCAAAGATTCCAAACAGTCATAAGCTTTCCAACAGTCCGAATGAATGATTGATCCCTGTTTAATAAATCTTTTAATAATTGGGATCAATGTTTCGCAATTTCTTTTCTCAACGGCAGTGATGAACATCTTGCTAGAATTCTTTTCAATCCCACCAAACACCCAAACACCCAAACACCATCCACTCTCCTCCCCTGTGAAACTTTCTTTTCCCAAATTTAGATTCATCAATTTCTACTTCTACCCCAATAGCCTCATTCACTCCTTTTAAAATTTCCAAACAAACCTCTCTGCAAAAATTGTACCAATCAACCAAAGTGTGATCAGAACCAAGTTTCAACTGAACTTTAACAAAATCTTCTCTAGACCTGTAAACCCAATAAAATGTAATTTTCAAAATGTCAGGAATGGACAAATTAGAATGATTAAACCAGGAAGAACGCTTCACAGAAATCTTGTGATGACACCTCTTGTTACTACACCTCCACACATGCCCCTCACTCCTACTGCTGTACCTCCTCCTGCTAATCACACCATTCTCACACTTACAGCAAGGCCCTCCAAACTGTCCTATCACGCCTACATCCTCTAACCAGTCCAAAAGTCTCCCCTTATCCCTGCACAATTAATACAAATCATCATACACAATCCTACTGTCAGACATTCTTGAAAAGTAATTGAGCAAAGTGACAAAGAATAGAAGACTTACCAGCTGTACAATGTACTACGAGCGTAGTGGCGTTCGTAGTAACGATTCCATATAAGGAATGTCACATGATCAGACACGTGACGTCTTACGTCATTTATGTCCCGCCCACAAACACCACGAAGTCGACACCACGAGAATACGGCTTTACTTTCTATCGTAAAACTCTCGGCCCCCTTAGGGGCGGAGTTTTAGACCATACTTTTCACGTCCTGCTAATTTTTGGGGTCCTTTTTGCAAAAAAATGCCTCTTAATGGGTTTCGGCGCGCTAGCGCGTGCGCGCTTTTATATAGGCGAAGCTGCCGAAGGCAGCGGTTTTCTTACGGAAACACACGAAGTGGGGACCCAAATACTGCAGTTGACCCCTATTGTTAATTGAGTGTGTAATTTGAGGATAAGGTGTCAGTGCTTAATGTGTTTTATTACCTCATTGAATCTTTTACTGACCAGCAGAACATGAACAGCTTTGTTGCTTTTATCTGGTTTCATCCAAGCTTGACTCAACAGTTCTCTGAAATACAATGGTATTTGAGTAAATCGTAAATGAGAGAATGCAGTCCAACTTATGCAAAACATCTGAACAGCAATATCTAAAAGGCCTCTTTATTAATTAGTTCCTCACCACAAACGTAGCCTTGGAAAATATGTAAGATGACTGATACCTGTAACCATCTCAGCAGGGTGGTGATTTCTATCATGGCGTAACACTTACCGGTACACAAATTTTCATATAATTATAGATCCACAGCAGGTGATTATGTTAGGATTCAGAGAAAATGCAGATATTAAATATTAGTTCCAGTCTTAGCTTATAGATAGATATTAGCCAAATGCAACCTTAGCCTAAAATAACAAGAACCCATTTCCCAGACATACTACTGAATAAGACAAAAGTTATGTCTACATAGTTTAATTGATTGCCTTGAACTATTTTTGAAGTACACCTGTCTTCACCAATAGTAGAATAACATTAAGCTAATACTTCAATTTAGGCTCATCAAGATCTAGCCCCCATAAACAAAGCTTGTCTACATCGATATCGTAAACTCTTTCCAAACATTAGTAAATATGTCAACAAGATTGGTGCCAGTCCATATAATGGGATTAAGAATTCCCCTCTCACTAGCCATTTAATTATTTTAAGGCACACCCAATTTTTTATCATTTAGCAATAGTGAATCATATTCACTTTATTGTATATATTTTATTCAAATAGAGAACAAGGATGATAGGCAGTGTGGATTTGACTCTCCAACCAAGGACAGCTCTCACCCACAGCCAAGAGGGTTGTTCTGACTCACTGTGGCACCCTCAGCTATGAACACACAATGCCATTTAGAAAGTGGTTAAATGTAACAAATGTTATATTCCAGATTACACCTTCTTAGTCAAGTACAGATTCTAGTACTTTTGGGGGTTGCCTAAATCTGGCAGTGTAGGTTCGAATCTGTACTCTACTAAGAAAGTGTTATCTGGAATATAACATTTGTTACATTTGACCAATTTCTAAATGGCATTGTGTTCATAGCTTTCGGCCATGAGAGTCGTGCTAATTTACACTTGTCAGGGGGTACACAAAGAATGTGATCTAGATGACCAGTTGTCAGACTTTCATTTTTGGGTGCTGGTGATTATGTGCCTCACCTTGGCAATTTCAGCTGGTAGTCAAGATTACATACCTTGTGTACCCCTCTGACAAATGTAAATTGGCACAGCTCCCATAGCCGAAAGCTATAATAACACATTGCCATTTGGAAAGTGGTCAAATATAACAAATATTACATTTGGGATAACACTTTCTTTGTAAAGTACGGATTCTAGTACTTTTTGTGGTTGCCTCAATCTTGCTGTGTGGGTTCAAATCCTGGATGGGACTCAACCCAAAAAAGGACTATAATCTTTACTTTACTAAGAAAGTGTTATCCCAAATATAACATTTGATACATCCTCAGCTATATTTAAGTTATTGTTATTCTCTTCTTGTAATTGTCTGCTGTGACTATGGCTCTTTGCTGACTAATTTCCTACAAAAACCAGCACGTCACTTGGAAGGTTTTGATGATCGGAACCACAGTACCATGATATTACTATGAAAAGATCACTGGGAGCAGTGGTTATCATCAGACACACTGGGGTTTTCCATTTGTTTGCATGGAATCAATGGAATCAGACAATATATGAAAGATACAATATTCCAAAAACATAAAAGTCAGTATTTGACCTCTTGACTGTTAGATAAGAACATTCAAATGGTTCATAGGTAACTCTTTGGAAATACCATTCATTGATTAGATTTTATTGCCATGGAAACTGTGACAAAATAAAAATTCCCCCAAAGCTAAAGACTCCTTGACTGATATCTGTGGATAAAAGAACATTGAACAGTCTTTGAGTTACGCTCTAGAAACAAAACCTACCACCATTTGAACCCAAATCCTATATTTATTTGTAGTCATGGAAAGCTCTCAAATATCAAACAATAGTTATTACTGTCAATAATTCAAAGAATACTACTTCAAATTACATCACAGCCATAAGTCCTGTATTTCGACATTCATGAAACTATAAAATCTTCAGATTTTCAACAGAATTTCTCTTCGCTGTCAATTATCCATAACAAGTGATAGTATCTTGCTACTCACACCTCATGCGCATTCTCTTCTTTCTACATCAGCATCCTAGAGGTGGGTGTGATTTACCCCTGATGTGTGTGTGTGTGTGTGTGTGTGTGTGTGTGTGTGTGTGTGTGTGTGTGTGTGTGTGTGTGTGTGTGTGTGTGTGTGTGTGTGTGTGAGTTAGGTTTAACGCCGCTTTTAACAGTATTCCAGTCATATCACGGCGTGTCAGCTTAATGTGGGAGGAAAGACCGAAGTGATGCAGGTCTCAGACGTTTACCACATCGGTGAAACCCACGAGCACGGGTATGGTGCTGACAAACCTAGAAACATAATCGGGGCAAACCGGGATTCGAACCCACAATCATAGGTTTCTGGCGTGCCTAAGGGACGTAACTCTGCACAGCGAATCGCGGCGCCTTAGACGACTGGGCCACCCGTGCCCCCTTACCCCTGATGTAATAGAGGTAGTATTCTTTTGATTATTAACAATGATCACCAACCACTGATCATTCTTGTGATTACCTACCTCAACTGCATCATAGCCATGATATACCTGACGGACTGATCAGTTCTGACATCTGATAACACCCTGGATCGTTAACAGTTTTCTTAATTTTGAGAGAAGAAGCATTTTGTTTCCTCTCAAATTCAGACATTTGGGTTACAAACAATACACAGAATCACCAGAAAAAGGCCTGATTTCAGAAAAATGACAAGGACATGAGCAAATATGTGGTAAATTTCCACAGAACTATCATTATATTTGCATCCAATTCCCCACTTGTGATGTCATCATTCAAACCTTATCAGCTTCATACTACCTGACATAGATGTCCATAATGTCACTTCCTGCTCTGATGACCTCACCTATGGTTATGACAACACTTCCAGTGGCTAGACATTCAACAGATTCACCTCAGAAGCCCCAATTTCTGATTAATGTCAAGGATATGAGCAAATATGTAGCATTACTTCTGGTTCTGATGAGGTCACTTCCAGTGTCCTTGACGTCATTCCTGTGCCTTCTGAGTCTTCTAGGTCTTCAGCAACCCATGCTTGCCGTAAAAAGTGACTATGCCTGTCGTAAAAGGCGACTAACGGGATCGGGTGGTCAGGCTCGCTGACTTGGTTGATACATGTCATCCATCCCAATTGCGTGGATCGATACTCATGATATCAGTCACTGGATTGTCTGGTCCAGACTCGATTATTTACAGACCGCCGTCATATAGCTGGAATATTGCTGAGTGCGGTGTTAAACAACAAACCAACCAACCAATCTGAGTCTGATACGAGCTCCTAGCCAATGACCTGTCCTACACCTTGAAAACAATTTGTTTCAAAAAGGTAACCTACCTTTCAAGTTCTCACTTCCGTCCCATTTTTTCTACAAGAAGGAGAAGCTTCGGTGTTACAAAAGATTGTGATTTTAACACTGGCCCAAGATTGCAAAGCCATTTGAAATCTGGTTGTTAATCTTTCATTACGACTCTGTTTAGTAGAGACCAGGGAGGGAAAGCATATGCAAATATCCCTGTCCAAACCATGGACAATCCATTGGAGAGCTCGGGGATCCAGCACCCAACTATTGTACACTGAAAGCTTGTTGAGACAGTCCAGGTGAGGTTTGCTATTGCTATTTCTTAAGATGATAAGCTGTCTGCAAAGATGATGAGCTTTCCGGAATATCACAAGGTTCCATCCTGCAGCTGATCATATGTGTCAAGACAAACAAAAGTGCATTCTCGTTCATTACATCAATCAATCTGGTTCCCCCTTGTCTCTGGATGTAGGCTACCACTGAGCTGTTGTTTTTGGCCACAAAGATCGAGGATAGGGATAAGTGATACTTCCATTCGTCAAGTACATAATAGATTGCTACCTGCTCATGAGGAGATTACTTTCATAAGGATATCATAGCCCCTATTCGTCACCACTCGCCCCTTTCCGTGACATGCAAGAAGACTTGTCCCCCTATTGATGAATGTTATGTGCGAAAATACGACAAACCAATCAGAATGCGCATATGATTTTGAGTTCTTTGTGAAATAATCCCTCAGAAATAATTTTTGATTTTACATATGTCTTGCATCTAAAATTATACCCAAGACACATTTAAATGTGTTCAATCATACTGTATAATTCTGCACGTCCCGATGTGCTTAAATTGCAACTGAAATATATATAATATATGGGGAAATATATGTGAACCCTTACGCAACGAGTTGACAATTGTTTTAGGTATGCCCGTTTGCGCTAAGACGGATCTTGGTGGCAAAAATGGCCATGAGAGGGGCACGAGTCGCTATTCGGCTTGTCCCGGAATAACACGAGTTGGTCACGAATGCATAGCCCCTCAACCATCATACTGTCCAAAATGGGCTCCACAACTAGTGTTGGATACATCAGTAAAACTGATGATGTTTGGGTGCTGGAAATACAAATGGAATGCCCTTAAAGTTTTCCAGGCATGTCCATCAAGTGAGATCCTTCAGCAACTTTGTCAGAAAATAGATTAGGTTATCAAACCTTGATCACAATACTGCATTCATTCATGCTTGTATGGGACATCAGACTGCCTAGCAAACACATCCACAATCGCAGATTGTGGTTAAGCTGATCTGCAACATCGGTAACCATCCATATTGTCTTGAGATAACAATCCTCTGATGGACATAGGACGTCACTGAAGCTGGAATATGTCGCTGAAATAAATGTCTTGGTTTGATTCCTGATTGGTTTGATGCACAAGGATACAAGATGAAATAGTATCCTCTTCCATAGGTCCTGCTGTAGGCGTTAGATTGTTCTTATGTCGTCGAAAATATAAGTACATAGACATAGTCATGTTGAAAGAGTTGTTCCAAATGATGAGGTTACCGGATAGTCAATA